CCTTTTTTTATAAAAAATATTGGCACATTGTCAGTAATGATGTTTTTAATTACTATTTGTTTTTCTTGAACGGGGACGGGAGTTTGCATGATATTAACAACACAAATATTGTCCTAATCCCTAAATAGACCTATCAGCCTTTGTAATGTGTTATATAAGATTATGGCCAAAGTTTTAGCAAATAAACTATAACTAGCACTTCCAATTTTGCATTAGTGAATCTTAGAGCGCTTTTATTCTAGGTAGACTAATCACATACAACATCCTTTTAGCTTACAAAAATTTTCATACCTTAAAAAAATAAAAAAAGTAAGGAAGACTAGTTTTTTTGTTCTTAAGCTTGATATGAGCAATGCCTATGATAGGTTGGAGTGGAGGTTTTTGCAATACATAATGGGTAGATTAGGTTTTCACCATAGATGGATTACCCTAATCATGAAATGTCTTACCCCTATTTCATACTCTATTCTTGTGAATAGATGTATCATTGAAAATTTTGCCCAGGTAGAAGGTTGAGACAGGGTGACCTTTTATCTGTTGAAAAATCCTATAAAATGTTAAATCTTTTTATTGATAGACCATGGAAGTAATTATTGGCATACAAAACAAAATTATCTAAATGATAATATGAAATAATTATTGGTCTACTTGAACAAATAGCCCATTAATGGTACAAAAAATCTTACAAAAATTCATCATGCATACTAAAAAACATACATTCACAACAAAATATTATTGGTTTTAGTGATTGAAGAATACTTCAGATCTTAGGCTTTTTAGTGTAATTCGAGATATTGCAGGAGATTTTTTTTGAGGCATTTCTACATATGAAGCTTGTTCTACTTTAATAATAGGTGGAATGGAAAATAATAAAAGTTAGTATCATGAACATGAATAAAAAAAAATCATATTCATTACATAATATACACCCACCCTAAATTCAAATTAAAAAATTCACTGATAAATTTTGAAAAAAAAGAAAAAAAATATAAGTTTAATTTATTTAAATTAAGTTTGTTCAATCATTCATAATGAAAATTTTAAGAAAAATAAAAAATAAACCCAACAACTATTATATAGTAACTCATCAAAATAATGCAATTTAATTTTTTCTACCATTTAACCTTCATAATATTTTTTATTCCAAGTACATCAACTCATAATACTATTTAATGCCACAATATTTCAATAATTATTATTAATAATTTTAAAAAAAAACAAATATAAATCTTATTTCATATCAAACCTAAATATAACATCAAATCAACATAATTTTTTTTTAATTTTATAATAATTATTATTAAAATTTATAAAATATTAAATATAAAACATCCATAAAAACATATATAAATCTTAATACGCATCAAACTCAAATTAATCAACAAATCAACATAAATCTTATACATCTAAAAGTTAATAAATCTATAAAAACAACCCAACAAATCTCAACAATACTAAAAAAAAATAAAATTGAACAATACTAAAAAAAAACCAACAAAATTTAATAATACTCAACAAAAAAATCTAACAAAATTAAACTACAAGTTTAACCAAATAAAAACTCAACAAATATATAAAAAAAAAACCCTACAAATCTCAATAAATCTACAATAAAAAATTTAACAATAAACTCAATAAAAATACTGAACCAAAAACTTGAAAAAGTAAGAATAAAGTACAAAAATTACCGATCGATGGAGGAGGGAGAAACTGTCCTGTTGACTACTTCTCATGTTGGGGAGAAAGGGAGACACGATAAGGAGAGAGGGAGATGAAGAGTGGGAGAGGGATTAGGGATTTAAGGGGGTTTGGAGATTTTTTGTTTTCTCGAATCTAGGAAGGAAGTTTGAAATTTATTCAGTTTTGCTAACAGATTATCGATGGAAATTCCATCGATAATCTATAAAATATTTTTTTAATTTTTTTATGGATAAAAATTTTTTATTGATAAAATAATTACCAACGAATTTCCGACAAAAAATTTTGTCTGTATTTTCGTGATAAATGATGTTAATTTTTTACTTATGGATTATCAATGAAATTAAATTCGTTGGTAACTGCTGTTAATAATCTGTGATATTTTGTTAGTAATAATAATTTTTTTCAATTACATTTTGTTAATATTTTATTAATAATTCATCGTTAATTACCGATGAAAAAAATTTCATCAATAAAATTTAATCGGTGATACTTGTTATTTTAATAGTGTTTGGCAGAAAAAAAAAATGAATGAATTTGTATCTTTTTCTTTTTTGGAAGTTCAATCATTTTAAATATAAAAAGGAAACATTCATTCAATTTTAATTAATAATTTTATTTATAATAGTCTTTTTCACTTTATTTTTCATCTTTCTTATCACACACAATAAAAAATAATTTTTTTTTATTTTCCTTCGTTCTTACCAAAGATAGTGTAATTATTGAAGACAACATGATGAACCTTATCCATTTTAACCTCAGCAACAAGTGACTTCAAATTAATCATCATTGAAGAAATATATTTTTGATTATATATTAAGAAATATATTTTTGATTCATATATAAACATAACCTCAGCATTACTTGTTAATCTACCAAACGAATGATGACTTTCTGAAAAGATCTGTTACTTCTACTTGATAATGACGTGAGTTTATTTAATACTTCAATTTTTAGGTGCAATGAATCAATGATATCGCTTTATCTTTTTTTTTTTTAAGTAATTATATTATTATTTACATAAAAATATTTTATTAAGAATTTCAATCCTTTCATTAATTTTTGTTATGTTTATATTTTAAATGTCAACTAAAGATAACATTAATAATTAAATAAAAATAAAGTAAATTAATTTTTTTTCCTAAAAGAATGCCAACAAGGCTACTAAAATTATTCTAAAGTATTTATTTTACATTAGGTAAAAAAAATTTATAGCTAATTATATATTATAATGCTAACATTATTTTTGTAAAAATAACTATTTTTATGAGACATTAACATAAAAACTTTCTTATTTTTTCAACATGTCACTATTTTTTATTTAATTTAATTTATTTTTTTGAATTTTGTATTTTTAACAAATGCCATATTTTCATCTTAATGATTACGTCCATATTTTAATGATCACATGGTGAGATTACACAAAAAAAAAAAAAAAAAAGTCATGAGAGGGGTAACATTGCACCAAAATAGTGCGATTAATCTTATTTTTTCTAATACGAACAGGGTATCATTTGGCGATGAATCTAATATCTTCTCCAAGCGATTTTAAGGGCGTAATCTCCCACATTGACGTGATGAATTTAGAATTTAATTACTTTCACAGTGTTACTAACAATGATTAAACTTGAATTGACAAACATAGTATAATCTTTTATATACAAAAAAAATCATAATTTAAGAATAAAAAAATTACGAGAATTAAATTTAAATTTTAAATCTGTTAGACACTACTTCTTAAAAATATGTGTATGGGCCAATTAAAATAAATTCAAAATTCAAATAAATTTTTTCTTAACTAATTGAGCTAAGCCAGATTAATTTTATCATTACATTTTGCAAAATTTAAAAAGTTCTATGGATACGTAACTGAATTAATAAATTGGTAAGGTAAAGTTGGATCTTCTGTAAATCTTAAGTTTGCTTTTATCAACTTCTGATTTTGTTCCATTCAAGAAAGTGATGTCATTAATTTCACTTATTAATAAGATTATAGAATACCCTCAAATGTAAGCAATATATATATTGAAAATGAGGATACTTTTGTAGTTTTGCAATGAGATTAAAAGTGTGACTCACTTTGGAGAATAAAGCAGTACAAAGATAGAGCGATAAATATGGGGAAAAAGAAGAGGTACAATGTGTTAAATGACAAAACGTGAAACACAAGAGTACAAGAATAGTAATTTACAATGATAAAATCTAATAAAGAAATTAAAAAGAAGTAATACCTCAAGAAAACAAATAGTTTTTTATTGGCTAAATGATTAAGAATGCACAACTTATGTAAGGTTGGTGATTAAAACGTTATTTTTAAAATTGAGTAATCAAAATAAAAAATATTGAATTTTTTAAATAATTTTTTATTTAATAATTATTTTTAAAAAATTATTAAAAAAAAAGAGTAAGATGAAATGTTGATGTTGTTATCAATTTTCAAATTTGAAATTCGAATTTTGACGACAAAAAATTTATCATTTATATATATAACAATCACTTTTAAATATTAAGATACAATTTTTTATATAATTTATTATTTGTTTAACTAACCGATAATGCAATGAAAAAGATCATTTACTATAATCATTTATTATTTGGTTAATCAAATAAGGGTCGTGCATTAATCATTATTAATAAGAGATCGTTAGTAAAATTCAAACTCAACAAAAAAAACCTACTATTTAAAAAAAAAAATACTAATGAATCAATACCTTGTCTGTAATTCTTAATATTTTTAGATAAAACAAATTATTTATCCTAAGATCAAACGTTTATCAAATTTTTTTGAAGATTAATCAAAGATATTTTTTTAACTACAATTAGGACATAATGTTTTCAATTTATCTAAATAAGGAAAATGGATGATAAAAGTTATTGATCAGATCAGTGGATGCAAATTAATTTTTGATGTGGCAACCATTAGTCCATCTCTTGATATATCACTAATTAAGTATTGCTATCATAAATTTATAAAATCAAAAAGATCATCCTAGTTTAAAATAAAAATAAAACCAGCTGAAACGTGAAAATGAAAATTTGGGTAAATTTTAAATCTTATAAGTAACATTTTAATCATTTAGCACCAAATATACCATCTTTTAAGCAAAGATTTTTGTAGGTCCCACGACATCTATTTTATATTTTTTAATAATTAAGATGAATAAAAATTAAATTTTAATCATTGAATTAACAGTTTCCTATGAGGCCTATCGGCAAAATAGTCAAAAGAAAAACTAGGCAGACGGTTGGACTGGCCCTTTACTTTCGCTCCTCCTATCATTCACAAAATTCAGTTCCTCAGAATAATAATGAAATCAAAGCAAAGTATCGAAGCGTCTTTTTCTTTCACTGCCCTTCGCACCAAACTACCAACCAAAAACTTCATCTACTTAACGCTTATCCAGCCTATCAAATCTTAACCGTCCCCCGCCCATTTCCTTTCTTTTCTTTTCAAACCCTCTCTCTCTCTATCTTGTTCGGTGCTTGTCTTTCTTGTCTTCCACAAACTGAATAATCATTACAGGTAGAAAAGATTCTTGGGTTTCTGGTTCCCATTTACTACTAGTTTATGTTCGTCAGGAAAATTCTGAAATTTCCGGGGAAAATATTTCTAATATGTACCACATTACGACTAGGTATTTATTATATTAAATGTTAAGTTTGCTTTTACTTTTGCTTTAATTTTAACTTTTTTGTCTTCCTTGTCTTGTTTATGACACATCTTCTTTCTTGCTTTGAAGTTGGAGGATGAAGATTCTGTTGCTTTGTTTCTTTCCCGTCTAATATTATTAATATGCCATGCCTGCTCTGATCTCGTCGATTTCATTATATCTGAATTGCAGACTCCTTTTTTCCAGGGAACTCTTTGTTGTTGGTGTTTGAACTGCTTCTGCTTTTCTTTTTCACCCATGGCTTGGACAAAATTGGGATCGCTTTTCTCTTTTCTCAATTTCCAGCGTATCTTGCAGGTTAGTTTCTTACTATTCTTACCACTGCTTGGAAATGCTTTTTCTTTTCTTAATTATTTATAACTGCCGACACCAGTATTTGTCTGGATCTTTCAGTTCTTTGTTTTTTGCTTTTTTTGTTTTTTGTTTTTTTTATTGGACTTTTTTGGTTGATTAATTAAAGAGCATGTAAACTTGAGTAAGTATGCGGTACAATCAAGGCAAATCCTACTTGGTAACAGGTTTTCTTTTTTTTTTTTTTTTGGGGGGGGGGGGGGGTGAAGAGGATTAATTCAAACTCAAATCCTTTCTTCACAAACCATGAAACTAATGCTATGCAGTTTCCCTGTACTGTATTGGTGTAGATGCTGGACCGTCCATAAATCTTAAATCCTATGGCGGGTCATGTCTATGTTTTTAGGTATGTTAGGATGAGAAGTGAGATTGATTTAAGGAGATTGTTTTTGATTAAACGTAACGGTGTCAATAATTTTGGATATGCTAATTGCTTGCTCCACTTAAAGTACTTTATTGCTATAATTAGTGGCTTAATCAGAAAATAATTTCAATGGAGTTATATTTAAATATTAAATCATTTTATATAATAAACATATAAATATTTTTTACATTGTATTTTTAAAAAATCTTTTGCATTAAATTCAATTCTTTTAAATATTAAAATATGTATACTTAATAAAAAATATTACAATGTGATATTATCCCATGTAATCATGTTTATGATATAATCATTCTTAAATTTATAAATTAATTGCATATTATATTATTATTGTTTTTGTTATTTATCTAAGTAAGTTTTTTTTTATATTTAAATTACATCATCCAAGAAGTTTTTTTATATAAAAAATAAATATTTTATAGTTAAAATTTTAATTACAATAAAATAAAAATTGATAGTTTTAATTTAGTGCGATAAAATAGGGATGATTTATTTCCATTTTAATAAAGTTCAAAAGAGTGTTTGAGTATTATTGATGTATGATTAATAAATAATTATATTTATAATCGAATGTAAAAACTTTTATCTTATTTGAAACTTAGATATTAATTTTGTCCTTGTAAAAATGAATTAAAATTTTATTTATTTAATCCATCGCTTTGAATTTGAGTGGGGCCACTAAGAAAAATTACATAATAGTTATCTTCTGTACATATATAATTACAGTTTCTTAAATTTTGAGTGGATGAATTGACTTCAAAAAAAATATGTGGCTACACCAATGGCTATAATTAAAGTAAAATTTTTATTTTTAATTTTACACTAAAACAGTGTTGGGATATGGTGGTCAGTTAATCCTTTTTGTCTCGATCTCTAACTGGAAGGGTAATAAAATTTTTTTTACCGCCAACTACATTGATTAACACTATTAGTCCAAAAATGAAGTGGCAAAAACATTTAATAAAATTATTTTTTATTCTTGAAGAAATGAAACATTTTAAAGGGGTAAAGTGACTATGGAATTGAAACTTTAAATGCTCAATTACAAATTTTTGTTTTATAAGTACTAATTTGACAGAAGTGATATAGTTCAAAGAGACAAATGTGTACTTAATCCAAAACAGAAACAATTTGATTGATATAGGAATTCTGTACAATGTTTCTCTTCCCAAATCTATTTTCAAGCCTTCCTGTCATAAGTTCCCACAAAAGTTTTTTGTAGAATTATTTGGCATGATTTGCTTCATTTTATACTTTACTTATCATGAGTTCCTTTATTTGTTTTGCTCGTTTACTTTTCTTGTTTTGTATACATTCCATGTTCATAACTAATCAGATGGATCTTGGCTAATTACCTGTGTGATTACCTATATTCCAAATGAATACTCTTGATTTTAAGCAATATAACAGAAAACAGACTTAGATAGAATTCATGAAGCATTAAACCAAAAATGTTTTAATTATAAAAAGTAAAAATTAAAAAAAAATTAAAGCATTGGTCCTAAGAGTACATCCCAAATGCGAATCCTCTCTCCCCGATCCCCATTTGTGTAGTACATTTTTTGCTTATAAAAAGATTAAAGTTAAAAAAATTAGTAGTAGATCATACTATAAGGTTTTTTTTATCTTTAATTTCAATTTTTATTTAATAGTCTTTAATTTAAAACTTCAAGAATTTCTACCAAATTATTCTTACTATAGAGCATGCATGCTCATATATTTTGATGTTAGAAACATATATTAATACATTAAGATGAAACTTGTCAAATCTTAGAGTTTGAATCTTGTTGTGCATCTTCAGCAGCGGCGACAACAGCAGCAGCAACAGCCGCAGTCAGGGAGAACTACGGAGGTTGATCTTGGTAAACACCTTATCAAAACACATGGAGCCAAAGTCGCAAGGGATCACTTGCATGATTGGCTGATACTGATGCTTCTTGTAGTAATAGAGGTTGTTTTATTTATCATCCATCCATTTCGCCGCTTTGTTGGAAAGGATATGATGACTGATCTCAAGTATCCCATGAAAGCCAACACAGTGCCAGTGTGGGCGGTTCCCGTAAGTTACTAGTATCTTTCTTGTCCATTGATAAATTTTCATTATGACCTGCTTAGGAGTGACGACTCCATTGTTGTTCCCTTGAAAGAATTAACTTTTGTCCCAAGGATGAAGAGCAAACACAAGCCAGATCAGTCATATTATTATTTCTGTCTCTACAAATCATTTTGCTGTTGTGCTTTGTATAAAATATTAACAGGATTCAATTCTCTTTCTTTGATCAGATGTACTCCGTTTTGTTACCAATCTGTGTATTCCTCTTCGTCTATCATCGGAGGAAAGATGTCTATGATCTGCACCACAGCGTTTTAGGTAATGGCATTTGCAGTCAGAATAGTTCAATAAATATATCCTAGCCAATGGAAACAAGTGAATATTTATTTACACTATATTTGGTAAGAACGAAAGGAAAATGAAATGAATAAAAAAAGGTAAGGAATAGGAGGAAGGAAAGTTATTTTTGTTTCATTGTGTTTGAATGACGTAAAAAAGATTAAAAAAAAAGTGATTAATAAGGATAAAGTTGTAAATAAAAATGTTAATTTAAGTTAAATAGATATTTTCTCTCACATTTGGAAGAATTGAATTTGAAGAGAAGGAAAATAAAAAAATCCACTCATTTTCTTTCGCTTCCCGTATTTCTTTGCTACTAAAGGAAGGAAAGAGTGAAAAGATAAATTTTCCTTTCACACCCTTTACCTCCTCTTTCCCTTCTTTCAGACACAATGTTAATGACTTCTCTTCGTGTTCAAGGGCAGGCCTCTTGTTTGCTGTGCTGCTTACTGCTGTTATCACGGATGCAATTAAAGATGCCGTTGGTCGGCCACGACCAGATTTTTTCTGGCGTTGCTTTCCTGACGGAAAGGATGTAAGTCCTGGTCTTCCTATCTCCTCAACTGCAAATCATTTACTATATGTCCAGTTTCGATTGTTTTCGGTCCTAAATGAAAATGAAACATTGGGAAAAGGTTCAATTAACGTACTCAAAAGTTTCTAAAAGGTACTTCATTACTGAATAATTAGTAATCCTTGTCTTCTTTTTTTTTTTTTTGCTCCCTCAGGTTTATGATCGATGGGGCAACGTTGTTTGCCATGGCAACAGAGCTGACATAAAGGAAGGACATAAGAGCTTCCCAAGCGGTCATGCATCTTGTAAGTAATGCTTTCTGCTCTCTTTGTTTGTGCTATATATTGGCTTTAGAAAAGTATGATATGTTTGCTGCTCAGATTTTTATGGAGACATTTGACTGTAGTTAAATGGAAAAAGATGAAAGATTACATATTGGCAAATTACTATCTAAAAATTTGGAAGTGCCAAATATCGATTTGTTTGATGAAGTTTGTGTTTTGTCTGCAGGGTCTTTTGCAGGGTTAGGGTATCTCTCACTGTACTTATCTGGAAAAGTCAAAGTATTTGATCGCAAAGGACATGTAGCCAAACTCTGCTTCGTTATTCTTCCTCTGCTTACCGCATCTCTTGTTGCTATTTCTCGAGTTGATGATTATTGGCACCACTGGAACGATGTGTTTGCTGGTGGTTTTCTAGGTATGTTTTTGTATGTTACATATAACTTGTGAAACTAGTAAATTTGAATTGTTTAATTTGTTTCAGGCCTTGTTGTGGCAGCATTTTGCTACCGGCAGTTCTTCCCAAACCCATACGATGATGATGGTAAAGTCTTCATTCTCATTAATCTTTCAAGGCAATGTCTGTTTTGCCAATTATTTCAAAATCTTTTCTGAATCCATATTTATTTCAAGTGTTCTTTCTTCCTTCTCTTCACAGGATGGGGCCCTTATGCTTATTTTGATGCATTGCTGGAGGAGTCAAACACCAATAGAGATGCTGCTCCTCAAACTACAAATGCACTCACTGTGCAGACCATGGCGGTTCATGTTGTAAATCAAACACTTCGATCAAACGGTGATAACTTTTCGTCACCACCTTTAGATTCCGATCCAAGCTCAAGATTAGATGATATAGAATTGGGAAGGAGGTGAAGCTGCATGAATATATCCTTTCTTAATATGCATGTATATACAAATAAGTACGTGACAACATTATCTGTCAACCATATATTTCCGTTTAGAAAATTAAATAGGTTAATGTTTGATTTTCGTAGTTCCAGGAATACTTGATTGATGTTTTCTGGATTTCTAATTGTGCCTACTTAGTGTTAGATGTCAACTGAAGATTATATTTGTGATGCTTCCTCGGTTTATAGTTCCCAATCAAAGCTCACAAAGATTGTATGAAAATGGAATGATGGTTAAACTGATCTTGTACATTTATTTTGTGCACTTGTGTGTGCATGGAATGTTTCAATATAGCTAGAATTGGTTTAATTTTACATTTAATTTGGCCCCTATATATGCTGGTTTATTCAAAAGTTTGTTTGATTTATTTCATTATTTTTTTTATAGGTGATTGATCATAATTATATTTTTAGTTCCCGTACATATAATTTGAAAAGGAATAGTCTATGTATTTAGTGACAGAGGGTCAAAGATAAGACTCCAGTGTGACGTGGTGTCATCTTGTTGTAAAGTGGTACTCACTGTAGTAATTGTGGCTAGTATTTGGTTTTGGTAGGGGGAAATGGAATTTCGCAACCCAAAGGGAGAGGAAATTACAAAACGCCTTGCCTTACAAACAAATCAACAAGAACAGAATGGGCAGAGTTGGCCCAATTTCGAGGCGTCTAGCTAGCTGTTTATGACCTAACTTGATTACGCTAATTATCAATGACCGGATCACACATGTGGATAGAACACCACATCACAATTTTGTGGCACTCTCTTACGGCACTTTTCTTCGAATCTAGCTTTTTTTTTTTTTAATTGCTATATTAATACAAAATTAGGATTAAATCAAGTAATTGAACTATCAATTCTGCTTAGCTTACCTAAGGTCATCTCAAGCTTTCGAAGAGTTCAATAATAAAACAAGAAGATGATATGTGGGAAGAGAAATGCTAGGAGCAGTCCATCTTTCGGTCTATGACCAAAACTTTAATCGCTCATTTCTTGTTAATTTTATTTTTTGTTTTGAAAATGAGTCTAAATTTTCAAAAAGAACTGTCTGCTTATTCCACTCATCTTTTTTAGCAAATTTTTTTGAGTTAACCGAGAAGTAAGCACTGCTGAAGCAATTGCCTTCTTTAGCAAAGTTCTATTAAGCTACTCTCTTCGAGTCTCTCATTTTTTTTTTCTTGAGCCTAATTATCCGACTTATCTACTACCTTTCTTTAGTTAAATGGCTAAAAGGTTAAAAATATTTTAATTATAATTTAATAATTGTTTAAGTTTTTAACATTTAATTCAATTAATTAATTTTTTAATATTTTATTTTGATTCAATTAAATTCTTAAAAGAATGGAATCTAATTATTGACAAAATTTAATCAATTGGTTTCTAAATTATAACCAATTAAATCTTTAAAGAGATCTTAAAAAAAAAAAAAGGAGAGAGAAAAAAAAGAAGAAAATTTTATTTTATTTAATTTTTACATATATTAATTGCACATGTAATAAATTTTAATCTATTTTATGGATATCATATAAATTTTTATTTTAATTGATAAAAAAAATTAATGATGTTAACATTTTCATTTAAATAAATGTTTACTTGGATGTGAATAAAGATTAGAGAAATTTATTGATTACAATAAAAAAATATAAACTTAATTTTTTTTAATTATAATTCAAGGCTTTTTCTAACCCTTTAACCTAAGTAAATCTATCCACAAGTTGAAAGGATTATAATATTGATATATAAGTCCCTAAGTCAACTAGGTAAATAAACTCAATTCCATAATTTCATATTTGTGTTGGGAAATAAACAAGCATAGCAAATCACACAAAATAATAGAGTAAATTTAAAACAAAAATAAGAATACACAAATATATTTGTTCAATCCAACTTAATGTAGCTTACTCCAAATCCAACCTATTAACAAATAAATCTTTACAATTACGAGATTTTCGAATAAGAAAAATCATCAAAAACTCTTCACTCAAATCTTAATCCAAAATCCAGTTATAAATTTTTAATAGCTCACTCACTTAACCATTATTTTAGTGTCTAACTATTTTTTAGATTATAAAACTAAAAACAAAGTATCTTATTTTAGGGGTGAAACTATTTATACTTTTACTAAACTCTCAATGTGGGATATAAAGATAAACTTTCAACTTTTATAACTTCACTCAATTTTTATAGGATTAAGAGATTCAAGGCAAATCTCAACAAATCATCCATTGACTTAAATTTTCAAATATTTCAATAGTATTCATAAAGCTGATACGTTTGCTTGTTTTCTTTTTCTTTGTCGTAAGAATCCTAACAACTGAGCTTTCATTAAACATGTACAAGTTATTTCAGACCCTATTCTCTTGTAGAATCACACCATCATTCTTATATACTTTGCATCAATCATTTCATACATAGTATATATATCCATGAGAAGCTAATTCACCTAAAACTATCAAATTGTAGCTAAAACTCAAAGCATACCTTACATGATGAAGAGTCATAATAATATCATTATGAGATCTAAGGCAAATACTCCAAATGCTTTGAATCTGCACATTTTCATTATTGGTAACCATAATATCCTTATACTTCTCATTCTCTTTTAACTCCATAAAGTAACTCTTATCATTGTAGACATGGACATTAGTAGCTGAATCTAAAACTCATCCTTTATCACCTTTGAAAGTTTGAGTTTTTTCTACATAAGTAATCAAAAGGACATCATCATCATCAAACATAATAGCAATAGTATCACTTTTTCTCATCCAATTTTTTATTGTCATTTGCCTTTTGAAAGTAGCCATATTCCTTCTCAACTTTTTGTAGTGCACTTGGATATGTACAAAGTTATTTTAGACCATATTCCCTTGTAGAATCATACTATCATTCTTATACACTTTGCATCAATCATTTCATACATAATATATATATATCCATGAGAAGCTAATTCACCTAAAATAATCAAATTGTAGTTACAACTCAAAGCATACCTTACGTGATGAAGAGTCCTAACAATACCATTATGAGATCTAAGGCAAACACTCTCAATACTTTGAATCTGCACATTTTCATTATTGGTAACCGTAATATCCTTATACTTCTCATTCTCTTCTAACTCCACAAAGTAACTCTTAGCATTGCAGATATGGACATTAGTAGTTGAATCTAAAACTCATACTTTATCACCTTTGAAACTCTGAATCTCATATGCATAAGTCATCAAAAGAATATCATCATCATCAAACATAATAGCAATAGTATCACTTTTTTTCATCCAATTTTTTATTGTCATTTGCCCTTTTGAAAGTAGCCTTATTCTTTTTCAACTTCTTGTAGTGCACTTGGATATGTTATTTTTTATCACAATAATAATATTCTATATCACTATAATCTCTGTCTCTTGACTTGGATCTCTCTTGATTTATCAACACTTTATTTTAGTTTTTTTTTTCTATCAAAACTCTCTATAGCTAGTGCACTCCCTCCAGGTAATAAGTTTTGTGTTTCTATAAATCTTTTATTTTCATGCAATAAGGTAGTCACATTATCAAATTTCAAAGTAAACCTACCTACCAACAAAGTCTAATGTAGCTTAACTAATGATAAATGCTTTGCTTACATGGCCTATATTTTTTTCACATCACACACAAATGAAGAGTCAACTATTCTTAAGAGATTTACAATATTGATGAAAGAAAAAATTATAACATGAGCAAAATTTTCTTGGGTTCTTCCTACACTTTAAACCTAGCATAACACATAAAAAAGGAAGAAGCAAAAATTACAAAATGATATAGCCTTCAATTGGTACCTTTTAAATATCTTCTATATACCACTAAACTATTTTAAAGAAATGCCACAAAGAACCAAAACGTAGAGCAACCACAAAAGAGCCTAAAATGCAAAACAAATTATTAGTCTCTTTGAAATGCCAAGAAAGAACTTTAACTAGTTCAATAGTTTTTATTGGTACCTTTACAAAAACAATTTCCTATGAGAAGCATCTAGATTGCATCCTAATAAAAAGATCACTTATGAGAAAAACAGAACAATGATTATACTTTTTGGAAATTGACTTATACTGAAAAAAACCAAATCAGAAAATTTAAAAAATATCTAGAGTATGTTGTAAGCACTTACTCTGGATATAGATAGATAAAACAAAATAAAGGTGTATCAAAATGATAAAAATAGTAGGATAAAAGAGACAAATGAGTTGCCCATTCAAAAGTGGCCAAGGTAGCAAATACTATTATCCAAAGGTACCAAACACATACTAATCCATATATATGTTGATTGCTGCGAATTCCAGCTGAAATCTCCATAGAAAATTTTCATCAAATGATGATCCAAAGTAACAATATATAACAACCAATAAATAAAATTTCCATTTATAGCAATAGTAAAATGTAACAGCAACACATATAAACATATTTTCAACAAAGAGCTATAAACTATAAACATATAAAAAATAAATAAAAATGTTGCCCATGTTTGAGATATAAATAGAAAAAAATATTGTTTTCTGCCTCTCAACTTTCAAGTAACATATTACAAAGCAGATATCTCTCAACCCTTCACTTTTGAGCATTTTTAGGAACCTTGGTGGAAACCTTAGGAACCATAATTAACTCGAATAATTACCCTAAAAACTATAAGTATTTACAACTTTTATTGTTAAAGTCAAGTTGTCATATAAAAATTAAATTTGTATGATGTGTGATAATCTATTTAAGTGCTAAAATTTTGAGGATACTTGTATCTGACACTCAAAATCTATGTAGATACTCGATATCCATGTCCTTTAAAGTTTAAATTAAAGCCTCATGATTAAAACGTTACATAAGAATATGAAACTAGAAAATTGAACATAAGTTATAGCAGTATCAAAGATAAAATGTTTCAGACACAAAAAGCATCCCCAATTCATTGGTTTATACGCATTTAAGATTATTAAGATGAATGCATTTCTCATTAATAAATAGACAAGTCTTAACCAAGAACTGCAACCTTTTTTACCTTCTTCCAAGATTATCATTTGACTAAGAGGTCTTCAACTCAGTTAGTATTCCATAATGACAAAACAAAAAAAAAAAACTCATATAAGGGGTTTTCCATCCTTAACCAGAAGAGAAGAAACAAAAAAGAAGAAGTAAAAAGAAGAGGGAATGAATAGCAAAGATTAGGGAATGAAACAGGGAAAAGGTAAAGAAAAAAAACAGGCTGTAAATATTTGACTTTTCATTTGTGTGTGACGTGAAAAAAATATGGGCCATGTCATCAAAGTGTTTTTGATCAGTTAAGCCACATTAGATAATGTTATTATTTATCGATACAATGATTTAAAAAAATACTTATTTAAATATTAGTAACTAAATTAAAAATTTTAATATTTTAGTGACCATTTTAAAATAACTGCAATAGTTTTGTGATCAATTATATAATTTATCTTAAAATATATTAAGAATAAATTGTTTCATAATATTTTATAAAAAATTATCACGTTTCTAAGGTAAATAACATTATTTTTATAATCTGAAAATGTAATTAAGGGAGGGTAAATAGGGAAAAAATTTTATTTTCTAATTAAAATCTTAAAAAAATTATAGGGAGATAAGAGTTTTTAATTCCTCATACTTTTTTACTTCTTGACACTTTTAAAAATTAAAAAAAAAATTATTTATCACATTCCTTGAACCAAATTAATAGATCAAATTACAAAAAGTAAGAATCCGGGAGGCAAAATTATTTTCTTCTGAACCAAATATTCCCTAAAAAAAAGGAGAAAATCTTGACTCAAAATTAAAACCTATTGTCATCTTTAAAGTCTTATTGACCACTAAGCCGAGAGACAATGGAATTTAAATATCTCAAATTTAAATATTATTGTTTAATTATTGAAGTATTTTATCTTAATAAAAGCCAATTTTACTTGTCTTTGGTTTCTTGAGTTTTTTCTTCAAATAAAGTATTTAAAAGTTTTTATTCTCAAAATCGGGTATTTTTATTCTTATTTCTTAAAATAAGGTATTTTTTTGCCAATATAAGCATTTAATTATCACGTAAGCTTCTCCTCTAACCCTTGTTTCTTTTTTTTCAAAATTACCATATTATAATCCCAAAAACAAACTTATAAGGACCACTTCTGTTTCAAAATTTAGATACAAAATCTACCGCCTAGCTAAAATCATCAATGAAAATACGAAAATTTAAAAAGGGTAAAAGAAAAAGTGACCAGAACAATGAAAATCGCAGCATTATACAAATACAACTTCAACTGTCTACCTCACTTCCTGCCACGGATGTTCAATGCTTGTTTGTTCCTCTTCTTGACACCAAACTTAGCAACTTTCAAACTCATATGCACAGATCTCAACCTTGCGAGGGCTGCTTTCGTTAAATCTGACCTGCGGTAGTTGTCTGTCACTTGGTTTTTGACTGCCTTGGCCATCCTGGGGAACTCCTTTTTCCTGAAAAACTTGGCAAGCTCCAAGGCTTATTCTGCTTCTAAGTCTTGGTCGTTGCTAGCAGCACAGACTGGTCTTTGCCCCCGCGTTGAATGCTGGCTGTTCTCTTGTTTGCCAACCCCGAGTGTTTGTAGGAATTGACATTGTTGGGCTCTTTGCTGAACTGAACGCTAGCAATTCCTCTTCCAAATTGATTCACTAGAAAAACAATTGTTTTTCTTTACTACCTCCCAAATCAACTGTCTTCGGACTGTTTTTTTTTTTTTTTTTTTCTCCTTTTACTAAAACAAATTCTGTTTGAAATCCCCCCTCTCTATGGAAAATGTAAAACAAATCCTATATCTTGATCCTATATGATGGCTGTTTGCCTTTGTGTCTTTTATTGCAGCAAAATTTGCGGCTATTAATTCCAGAAATAAGGTTTTTTTTTCCAGGGGCAATAAATTTTGCATCCCTATGTTAGCATAAGGCTGATAAAAAACAGATTGTTCAAAATTCGTACTTTGCTTTTACTGAAAAAGCATGGTTGCTCGAATCTATGATGATTTCCACCTTTTCAATGAATAAACTCCTTTTTTTTCTCCAAAGTTCCTATATAAAGCTTTTTCAGGTTAATTGCTAGCTTATAATTGGTCTTTGTGTTACTTTGTTTTATAAAATTGTGCAAAAGCTACCCTATTTTAGGAAATAAGAGTATTCGGAATAAAATTTTTAAGTAGCAAAACTATTGGTTTCTTTTTGTAACCTTTCTGTCTCTGTCACCAACTTCACACTATAAAAGAAATTAAATTAAAAATGCCGCTCGGTCCCCATCTGTTCCTCAACTTTTATTATTATTTTAATTTAAAGCTGCAATAAATACAGAGAAGAGAAGAGAAGTGAACAGACCTTCACTATATAATTCTAAGAAGGGAAAAAGCACCTTCCCTGTATGCTATCCTCCGCCCAAACCAAAAAAAAAAAAAAAAAAAAAAAGAGAAAAAAGAAAATAGATTTAAAGCGCTTTTCAGTTTGCTGTTAACCGAATCTCTGTCGCGTCTTTTGGATCGTTATTCTCAAAAGTTCAAAATTTCCGACGGGTTAGTTCATTTTCTGGCACTATTTCTGTTAGATCAACTAACTTTTACTTTCATTTTCCTTTTCTTTTTGATATTTTTGTTTGGTTATTGCGAAATTGAAGGCATATAAAGGGAAAGACGCATGTAAAAACGAAAACGGAATTTTGCTTTTTTTTTTTTTTACCACTCTCGATTGAACACAGTTGAGTGGGAGACTCTGTTTGTTTGTTGGTTTATTTGACTCTTAGCGTTCTTGTTTTGGATTCATATTATTTTCTCGGAATTTTTGTTTAATCCATTAATTTTAAGGCAATAATTCTTTTGAGGTTCGAATTAGAATTTGAATCTGCACTTTTTTTTTGGATAAGCTGAATTTTTATTTATCCAAAGTCAGCAGGAATCTGCTACAATATAACTGATCTACAACTTAACAAACAAAGGAAGACAATTCATAAACAGTTTATTCTAAAAAAATCTACATTCAGATTCCAATCTTCACTAAGTTTTTTGTTTACCATATCTCCTGCAATAAGTTTCAATCCATGCAGCCTATATCTTACAATTTCCTTGACTTTGTCCACCATTTGTGCTGTCCTTGCTTGAATATCCTCTGGTTCCTTTCCCCCCATATGAAATATATACATGCATTCCAGGCAATTCTCAATAGAGTTGAGATCAAGGCTTTCCCTTTTAATCTGTTCTCTGCCCAGCTTAGTTCTGTGTGCCAACTTCCTACTCTTCTATCAATCTTGCAGTTTTTGTTAAAATTATCTTATCCTTTCTGAGCATGCTTCTTTTGGCTAATCAATATGCATTTCTGTTGTTAAGGAAGAGTTTTAGATCAAGTCAAAACCTGTGATTTTTTTTTCAACAGCTGAAAAAGGTATGCCTGTGGTTGTAGAGTCAGCTTTGCATTGTTGGATGATGGTGTTTACTCCAATTAGAAGTGCTGCGGATTTGTGAAGGTCCTTTTTGCAAGAGGGTCATCCAATTTGTAGAAATGTCCGAAGCCGAGTGCCTTTTGTTGAAGCAAAGTAACCATCATTGAACTGTTTAGAAGAACCATCCTTTATCGTCTTCCTTTTCATTTCCTTGATCACCTCAAGCAGATACTACTTTTAAATTTAGATAAACATTGCCCTTGCATTATTGTGTTTGTCTACATGAGATATTGTTCGCTTTGATTCTAAGGTCTTATAGTACAGTTGCACAAAAGGCGTTTCATAAGTATGGGTTTAAGTCTCTACATATATACCATAGTAGATCCTCACAAGCTGTACTAATTTATTAGCCATGTAGGTTGGGTCCCTAGTGGTTAGTTTCATCCCTGTAACACGAGCATTGAATTGTGATTTTTGTGAAACTATCTGTCCTTTACTTCGTCACCATGTTATAGAGATATTATACATCCTCTCAACAAATTTACTTTGTGCACCCTAGAAAATTTCATGTGACAATTAGTGAGTGGAAGCATAGGAAGAACAAAGGCTTTTTTTATGCGTTATCCTTTGATTTAATAAGTTTGTTTTGCTTTATTTTTATTTTTCTTTTTCTTTATATAAGCCCTCTTTGTACTATAAATTATGAATTTTACTCCTTTACAATGTTCCAATGCATCTATTACTTATTATAGGATTCTATGATATGTTCTTATATGATTTGACCTTTATTTCCTGCAAAATTAGCATTTTATTTTGTTGTTGTTGTTGCTAGTTTGTGGTGTGCTATTATTGTGACTGCTCATGCTCATGATCCTTGTTTTCTTGTTTGCTGTCTTGGTAATTGTAATCTTCACTGTATTCGTGTATCATTGTTTTCTTTTGTCATCGCACAACTATTTCTTTTTGTTTTCATGTATTAACCTTTTCATATGTTTTAAAATCAGTGAAGATGCCAGATATCCAGTTGGTTGCGCACACTGTAAGGTCCCATGGGGTTAAAGTTGCAAGGACACACATGCATGACTGGCTCACTCTTTTGCTTCTCATTGTGATAGAGGTCATTTTAAATGTTATAGAACCATTTCACCGCTTTGTCGGAGAGGATATGTTGACTGACCTGTCATACCCCTTGAAAGACAATACCGTTCCCTTTTGGGCCGTTCCTGTATGTTCTAGCATTGAGATATACCATCTTACTGGAATTACTTTTTGGCAAGAGAGTTTGTTCAGAGTCAATCAATGACAACACTAAAGTATAATGCTTATGTTCTTCCTTGGAACAGATGATCGCAATAATACTTCCATTTTTTGTCATTCTTGTCTGCTATTTCATCAGAAGGGATGTTTATGATCTACACCATGCCATACTGGGTAACACTACTTTTCCCTTGTGATTCTGAAAGTGCCTCACTTTTTGTCTGTATGTAATTGCATTTAGTAACGGTTGGTGCTTGCCTTTATCTTCAGGCCTTCTGTTTTCCGTACTTATCACTGGTGTTATAACTGATGCTATTAAAGATGCTGTTGGTCGACCTCGTCCAGACTTCTTTTGGCGTTGTTTCCCCGATGGAAAAGGGGTTAGCCTCCTATTTTCCCTAATTTCGGTTTTATTTCTTTTTGTGAATTTAAGTTTACATAATCAACAGTCTTGATCAGTCCTGTACTTTGTCAACATGCAATTGTTGCATCATACATGCACAGGTGTTTGACCCTGTGACAAAGGATGTTATGTGTACTGGATTAAAGAGTGTCATCAAGGAAGGACACAAAAGTTTCCCCAGTGGTCACACTTCGTGTAAGCAGTCTAATTATTTCCAGCATCATGGCTTTTTAACTTGAGTTGTGGTCCTCTACTTGTGATGTAGTATTTTATGTTTATTGGAGATTGCATGTAGCACATGTATGACTGTCTGCACAGACGTGTGATGTGCTAACCTCCTAAGCCCGGGTGGAATTTGACTTTAATTTTTTTAGGATACAAACATATCAGCACTTTTTCTATTTATTTAGTTATTATAATAAGCATAAAAACACATTTGTTAATCATCTACACCTTCCTCTCTTCTTTCATTTTTTTTTTTGCTTCCTGAATTTTTGCAAACACACTGCATATAGTCTGAAGATAATGCCCTGGCAATGTAATCCACCAAAACTATTTTCATTGTTTTTACAATTTCAAAACAGTTTGATTGTTATTCAACAACACTTCCTTTTGGGGAATTCAAAAAAGAACAGCATTAAAGTTCTTGTTTTTTCTGTGATTTATAGTAGTCTAGATGGATGTTTTAGATCTTGAAATTTGAAGCAATTGGATTGAAGAACAAGACCTCAACCTTCTTGCAGTCTGTCTGGTTGGTTACATGGATTGTATTGAACAATATCCTAGTGAGCTCTTTAAGAAAGATATTGTTTTTTTATAGTTACCCTCCATGTCTTCTTTGGCCTACCCCACCCCTATTGACACAAAATTCTCTAATAAGCAATTGGATTTCCCTTAAGAATACCCATTCCACCTTAAATCTGTCTCCCTCATTTCGTCATCATTTGGTGTGCCCCTACTTTTTCTTGAATGGACTTATTTTTAATCTTATCTTTTCTTGTAGACCCACACATCCATTACAGCATCCTCATTAACATGGATGTATTAAAAGGAAAGCAAAATTCTGATTGCTTATAAATAGTATCTAAATGTGCCTTTATTTCTTTCAACATGGTTGTACTTTACCAATTATCGAAGATTGAAAAAGTAATGCTATTTTTTTCTTTTTTTTAAAATTTTTTTAATTTTGAAGATGAAAATATAATGCTATTTAGATAAATAGAAGGATTAAATAGTTCATAATACCAAAAAGAGAAAACAAGGTTTTGTGCAGGTATGTATGTTTGTGATGATCACAAGTTAGCTTGTGCTATAGTCAAATTGGATGATTGATTGGATTTTATTGGATAGAGAGTATAGCAAAGTTCCTAGAAGACTAAAGTTTAGTCGAGCAAAGTTGTGTTCAACTATCCACATGTTCTGAAATGGACATAGTATGAGGCTACAATGATATTACATGACATTTTTTGTTCTTATTCTTGTTTTGACTTCTTTCCTTTTGTATATCTGGTAATTTATTTTTGGGTATACATACAAGTGTGCTGGTTTAATTATGAGCTTTGCTGTCATTTCTTATGTATTTGCTTTCATTTTACCTTGAGTTTATTACAAAACTAGAAATGACTTTGAAGGAACTTTGTTCTTCGACATGCAGGGTCCTTTGCAGGTCTTGGTTTTCTTGCATTATACTTGTCTGGGAAAATTCGGGTATTTGATCACAGGGGCCATGTAGCGAAGCTATGTATTGTCTTCTTACCGTTACTTATTGCCGCTTTAGTGGGAATTTCTCGAGTTGATGACTATTGGCATCATTGGCAAGATGTTTTTGCTGGGGGTCTTTTAGGTTTGTCTCTTGGACACCATTTTTTTTCTTAATTTTTATTAATTTTCTCTTTATATTCCTTACGTTGCGACAAGTCTTTTTCCGTTTTTGTTGTTAACTCTTTCTGCAGGGATAACAGTTTCATCATTTTGTTACATGCAATTCTTTCCAGCCCCATATGATGTAGATGGTATGTTCCTCAGGGCACTATTCTCAACTTTTATTACTCTATGGCTATTTCCCTATATTACCTTTTGGCTACCTCTAGTATTTGATATAATTATTCATAAATTGACATTGGAACATGTAAGCCTAGTTTAGCATTGCTGTTGAAAGTAGCTTTTGCATTTAAAAGTTTCTTTTGACCCAACCTCAAAGCTAAACAGGGAAAAAAAAAAAGCTTTTGGGTTTAAAAAGCTAGTTTGCAAACCTAAACCAAAAAGCTCCTTGAGGTGCTTTTGTGATGAAAAAGTGTTTTTGGGATAGAAAATTACCATATTATCCCTATATTCCTAATATTTTATTTTTTTCAACAGTTCAATTACTCACAGTACTTTTTCACATTAATACTAAATACTTAAAATTTCTAATCATACTTTTTATGGTATCTTTTAAACATAATTTTTTCAATCCAAATATTTTCCAACGACTGTAGTAATGCTAAACTAGCCCTTAGTCAATACGAATATAATGAGCATAAAGATGATATCCATCTTGCACATTTCAACTACTGTTTTATTCTTTCCGCCTTATAACATTTATGCACTGATGGATTGGATATTTCTGTTGTGTTATTTTGCTCATGTGGACAGGTCAAGCTTTTTCTTTTTTTGTGAATTTAGGATTTCAGTGTAGTTATGTCATTGCTTAGCTCAAGGGAGCCTCATATTAGACTTGGTAGTGCCGCCTTTGGAAGGATTTTTGGTGTAAATTATATTTAATTGGATTCTTACTCAATGGAAAATTAAAATGGCGGGGGGACAATTAAATATCTTTTACTGCAACTCCTAGGTCTTTCGTGACGACATAAATAGAATATTTATCTCCTCTTCCATCAGGAATAATGGGGAAAATAAGGAGGAAGAGGAGTAGGATAAGGAGGGGAAAGCTTGATATACAACGAAATATAAATGCTAAAGATTAGGTGAAAGGCAGTTTCCATTTGTTTGATGCCGTTGGGTTCTTCATGCTGATAAGAATTGTCAACTGTCATTGACCTTGAACTCCCAGGGCAGTTTTTAAGAGTACGTAGGCATATATCAGAGAAATCATACCATTAATTATCACTAGGTTTCTTTCTAATGGACCGTGCAGGCTGGGGACCTCATGCCTATTTCCAGAAGTTGGCAGAGTCTCGAAATTGCAATCCATCCAACACCATCAATAGTTCAAATGCACAACAATCAGAGCTGGAGAGTGTATATGTCGATACGCAGCATGGCAGGGGACCGTCTGGAGCCAGTACTCATGACTCTAGCCCTATTCTGGACGAAACCAACCGCCTGAGGAGATATTAATTATTGAATTTAGACTGTAGAGAAGATGTCCATAGTCTTTGAGCTTACTACCATATATTTTGCTCTTACACTCGTTTGTTAGGTATTGAAATATGGATTTGCTTCTCCTTGATGTCATATTTGTTAAATCATTTCCAACAGTATGTGATGATGAAGAGACCTTGTTTGCTTTATTTCACAACTGAATCAAAAGATACGATCTTCACCACCATTACTAAAATTAACTCTGGGGGCAGCTGTGCATTAGGTAGTGTATGAACTCAGCTTAATTAACTCTTTTCCTTGGGTAAATGCGGTTTTAACTAGGCCAACAGTGATAATAGCGTGACGCATTTTATTTTTATAATTATTTTTTTATTTAAAAAAAAAATACTAAGAGTGTGTCTCATTCTGTTAACTTGTGAGGTGTGTATCAAATATATATATATTTTTTATCTATAAACTTATACTCCAAATAGTGTCACGCTTTCATCTGAAAAATTAAGCCTAATTTTTAGGCAAGTTATATTTGTCATAAATTATGATTTGAAGGTTGAAGTGGGAACTAAATATAATGCCTTCTTTGGAAAAATTAAAGCCTAACTTTTAGACAATTAATATTTGTAATAAATTACGATGTAAGGGCTTAAAATATTCTAATTTAATCACCAATTATAATACCAAAAAAAAAAAAAAAATTACTTTCTATTATCATGAATCGATTATCAACGAAAAATTTTAACCACGAATGCAATACAAAAAATAAAAAATAAAACTCCCCCTTAAAAATTCATGGGCATGAATTTTTTTTTTTATTATATAAAAAAAGTAAAATCTTAATACAAATAAGAGAGAAGGGAAAAATTTGATCCGAAACTAAATTTTTGATGTTCTTTTAAACATCTTTAGTCAAACATTTTTAATCATGAGACCAAAAGCTTAGGGACATGGGCATGAATTTTATTTCTAAGAAAATAATGACCAAAACTTACTTTTATGATTGCTTTTAATTTAGTGAATTTGTTCAACAAAAATAATGAGTAAAAATAAAAAATTGTAACTATGATGAATTAATTTTAAAATACAATTTAAAGATTAATTTACGCTCAAATACAAAAGAGGGCAATCTGTAGTTACAAGAATAGAAGGGACGATCGACGGTGGTGAAAACACATGGGTGGGCGGTAGCTGTGAAAACCAAGGGAGTGATCAGCAATGGCAAGAACCCAAAAGGCGATTGGTGGTAGTGAGAAACCCATGGGCGAGAATCGAGAGACAATCTACAACGACGAGAACCCAGGGGCGATTTGTAGTATTGAGAACCCAAGTGGGAATCGGCAGCACAAGGAGCTATTATAACTTAGGTTAACTTTACACTTTCCATTTAATTTTCCTTTAAAAGATCATAGTTACTTTTTGTACTAGCTAATGTTTTGAGTTAAAACAGTTTCTTTGTTCATGCCGTACTATGAAGCCTTGATTATTTTTTGTAATTCAAACGTAACGACAGGTAAATTATTCTTTATTAATGAATTAATTTGATATCGCACCATCATTAAGATTAAATAATAAAGGTATTCAAATATTTTGAATGGTATATATCTTTATATTATGTCTTGTCTCTTTTTCATTGTTGAATTTTTAAACTTATAATATTATCATTCTTTCAAAATAATTATAAATATCCTAAATTATTAAAGCCTCATTTGGATTTAATTATTGTGATTTAGCACCTTTTTATTACAATTTCACCATTTAAACCATTTATTTATTTTTTGCCAATCATTTCAAATAATTTGAATATGGAGAAGACAGTATCCAACTACATTGGATTAATAATTTTGGACTGGAGGGATAAAGGTCCAGTGAGGCACTTTGATAAACCTTTCACCATATTACCCATTATTAATTTTTTAGTTCTTAAAATATTTTTTGCCTTTTATTTTTATTTTGTACTTATATTTAAATTAGTTTGCTTTATTATGTTTTATATTTCATATGTTTGTTATTATTTGTTAAATAATATTTATAATTGCTATAAGTATTATTTTTTTAAATATTAAATATTTTAAAGTATTTTTATAAGTTTTAATATTTAAAATCTTAACTGTTATTTTATATAAATTAATGTGCCACTATTTTTATTAAATAAAATTATCAACTTTTTAAATATTAAAATATCCATAAATATAATTTAATAATATAGTTTTAGATTAAATAAACATGAGTTGTTTTTATATGAGTAAATGTATTATTATTTTTTAAGAAATAATTATAATTTTAATACAAAGATTATCATAAGATACAAAATATATATCACTAATTGCATATTATTTTGTTATTATTTTTTTTTTTTATGCAAAAGAGTGGTAGAACCACTTACAATCTTAAGGCTTTAGGCCTTAAAATCCCTAATAGATTTTCGTCCAGTAAACGAACTAAATTTATTGGAGGGTCATCTAACACATATTGATTATCAGCTTAACTAAAAGCCAAGTTAGCCAAATAATCAGCACAAAAGTTTGTTTCTCTGAAATTATGGTGAGCTTTACGCTCCCTATTTTTTGCTGATAAATTGTTGACACTAATGGATAACATGGTAAAGAGGATCTTTCACATGAATAGAACCCATCGTTTTTTTGCAATTGTCAATAGAGAATCTGATTCAATAACAACTCACCTAAAACCTTTCTCCCAATCTAACTTTAGTCCCATCTGAATTGCATATAATTCAACCTTACGCATTGAACCATATCCAATTTTCTAGTAAACTCAAATATCCAATAACCATCAGAATCTCTCGTAATGTCTCCTATGCCCAAATCACCTAAATTAGAAAAAGCACCACCATCCATATTAATTTTATGAAAAGTAGATGGGGAAGGTTTCCAAGCAATAAGAGAGACCTACTTTACATAAGTCCTTTTCTCTGACGGTCAGCAAAATACTGCCAAGCACAGTCTTTGACAATATTAGCAGCATAATCAGGTAAAGAAAATCCCTGTTCAAATACGCATTTATTCCTCCATTTCCAAATATTCCAACAACCAAACGCGAACAAAATCGGCCAAGGGATTCCATCATGCACAACATTGCTTCTAGCAAGATTAAAAATGATCCAATCAGACAAAGAAAGGAAATGTTCCAAGGTAGACCCCCGAATCCAACAATTCCATAACATACTTGAGAATTTGCAATCTTTAAGCACATGTAATGACGATTCAATCTGATTCTGACATCTTGGATAGGAGGCTAAATTTGAAATCCCTCTTAACCATACACGCCTTTCTTTTAGTATCCTATTATGCGATACAGACCGGAAAAAATATTTTGTACGAGGAGGCACATCCAATTTCCACAACTTTAACCAATTAATATTGGGCTGAAGATCACCTAATAACAACTTGTAAGCCAAGCTATCGAAAAAATACCATTCGAAACAGCAGACCAAAACAATTGGTCCTCCCTATCATAAGACAATGAAAACACACCAAACTGATCTTTAATCGACTCGGGTATATCCCTAATCCTACTCCAATCCCAATCCCCATTTGAATTCACAAAATCACTAACACACTGCGATGCATCTATGCTTGATAGAACTCGGTTACATCTTGTCTTGAGAGGTTGACTACCCAACCATTTATCACTCCAAAAGGAGGTTTTGTTCCCATTAAATACAAGTTTCCTAGGCCCTTGCGTTACCAACTCCTTACTCCAAATAATACTTCTCAAGCATAAGCACTAGATTTTTTAGAGGCTTGGAAGAAATGAGCCCGTTTTAAATATTTGGCCCTCAACACCCTAGCCCATAAACCACTGTCCCCTTCAGCTAAAGGCCATCCAAGCTTGGCCAATACTGCCTTGTTCATATCTGATGTTTTGCGAAACCCCAAACCTTCTTTTTTTGGGTCGACATATACTATCCCATTTAACCAAAGCAACTTTTCGAACATTCTCAGTGCCTCCCCGCAAAAACTTTCTATTCAAAGCATCGATCTCCTTTGTTACTGCTACAGGAAGTTTAGCTACTTGCATCGTATAGTTGGCAATTGTGTTTGTGACTGGACCAAAATCGTTCTACCAGCCAAGGTCAACTGCTTTGCTTTCCCCGAACATAGCCTTTTCGTCACCTTATCCACAAGAGGTCTATAAGTATGAATGGAAACACGGGATGAATGAATTGGAACACCCAAATAAGTCCCAAAATCAAAACTTTGTTGCATACCCGTAATTCTACCAACCTCAACTGTAACTGATTCTGAAACATTAGTCAACATAAAAAACTAGATTTGTCATAATTTACCTTCTGACCTGAAAGAGAACAAAACTGATTCAAACAATCCACCATAATAGAGCATTGTTCAGCAGAAGCTTCACCAAAAAGAAACAAGTCATTTGCAAAGAAAACATGTGAAAGCTGAGGGCCACCATGAGACGGGCAAACCGGTTTCCAAATACTGTTACCGTCTGCATTGTCTATAATATCCAATAATTTTTACATGTATGGTACGAACAGATAGGGGGATAGTGGATCATTCTGCCTCAATCCTCTAGTTGGCTTGAAATAACTAGTCAGTTCAGCATTCCAAAGAATATTCATTTCCTTGGAAGTCACACAAAACATTATTGGTGAAATAAGAGATGATGGTAAGCCCAAATCCATTAACACCCACCGTAAAAAATCCCAACTGATACGATCATAAGCTTTCTCAAAGTCAACTTTCATCATCATAGTACCAATCTTCCCTTTTTTCCTCATAAATGAATGCACTGCTTCTTGTACAATCACAATGTTATCTGTAACTGAGACCAGGGATAAAACTGCATTTAGTAGGAGAAATAATATCCTTCAAATAAGGACGTAACCTAACCACAATGATCTTTGAGATAAGTTTCACCGAAACTTATCGGTCTAAACTGCGAAGCATTTTCAGGGTGTTCCTTTTTAGGAATAAGAACCAATAACACTGGACTACATATACTATCAAAGCTCTCTGTTAAGAACTCCTGCCTAATAAAATTACATACCGATTCATTCACCACATCCCAATTTGCTTGGTAAAAGCCTGCTTGAAAGCCATCCGGACCTAGAGCCTTAAAAGTAGCCATGGAAAATAAAGCTCGTTGTATCTCCTCATCTCGTGGGACCTGTGCCAAGAAATCAACCTGCGAGGCGGACATTCGGACCCAAGAACTTGGACAAAAATCATCCATGAAATCATCAGGATT